GCTACAAAGAACAGAGCAAGATGACCCCCAACAGAGAGTGAGGGCTGCCCCACTGGGGCCCCGACCCATAGGTTAAGAAGCTGTGATGTAGAGGAACATCGGTCGGATTGGGAGGAGTCATCCCTTGGATGTGCAATAGGTCAAATGCACGTTATTTCATTAGATGCGGAAAGTGCGTGAGTTGGATTGAGCGGGTACCCACTCCTCACCTAGCTTCTCAAAGGAAGTGTTGCCCACATCAATAACACGCGTGTGATAGGGTCCTTAGACACAGCACAGCCCTGGGATGAAGCTGCAGGAAAAGAGGTTCCACCTGAACATTAGCAAGGAGGGGATGGGGTTGTTCGGGATCAAAAAGCCCGTCTCCCTGCGGAATTCAGTGTCTCGGAGGAGGAGGAGGAGACACCCCCCTTGCGCTGCCTTCCCAATTAAGGCGGAAGCACTTCTCTCCCTGCAGACGCCGACTCTAAGGCCTGCAAACGGAAGTCGGGAGTCGGGGGTCAGTACACCGGCCAAAGGACATCCACAAGAAGGGAAAGGCACATGCAAAGCACGCTCTGGGGGTGGCTTGGCTAAAATGCCCCCATAGCGCTATGTCACAAAATCTGGACCAAAAAAAAAATCTGTTCCTGTTTCGGAAGTGTTGTTTCCCGTTTAATTGTGCAGTCCTTATTTTGAAAGTAGTTTCTAGACTGCAGAAACTTCCTTTTTGTGGCTGCCACAAACGAGGATGAATTGGTGGAGAGTCTTGAGATATTCGTTGCAAAGCCACAGCAAAATGAATGAAGCAGAGAGTGTTTAAGGACCGGGACATCCGTAGGGATACCAAGGTGCTCCGAGTGTAGTATCCTGGGGGTGGGCCCGTAGGTGACTGTGGAGCCCTCTTCTTGACCTGCATCTTCTCCCGCAGTGAGGGCATTGGTTTCCAGGTGGAAGGTGGTCCCGGTCAGGGTTGGCTTGATGTGCCTTCCTCTTGGCACGTTTTTCTCTTTTGCCCTCCATTCGTGCCTCTTCAAATTCTGCAGCACTGCTGGTCACAGCTGACCTCCAACTGGAGCACTCAAGGGCCAGGGCTTCCCAGTTCTACCCCAAACCCTAAACCTTACCCTAAACTTTATCCTAACCCTCCCCTCCTTTCTATCCTTCCACCAAATTGAAGTTTATTCCCGCCCTCAGTGTGCCGCCGCTCTCCCCTTCCGTTATTCACAACTGCTGTAACGCTCGGAGCTTCCGGACCCAGCTATCATACTATCGCCGCCTTTTTATTTACTTTCACTTGTGACTAATAGGCTGTTTCTAGTGTAGAACTGGACACCAGCATGAGAAGCTGGAGCTGACAGGCGGGAGCTCACCCCACTCCCCAGCTTTGAATCACCAACCCTGCAGTCATAGAATCATAGAATCAAAGAGTTGGGAGAATCCTCCTGGGCCATCATCCAGTCCAACCCCATTCTGCCAAGAAGCAGGAATATTGCATTCAAATCACCCCTGACAGATGGCCATCCAGCCTCTGCTTAAAAGCCTCCAAAGAAGGAGCCTCCACCACACTCCATGGCAGAGACGTAACTCTTCCAAAGGTAGAGTCTTGGCGGTGAGTCCATAAGTGACTTTGAAGACCTCTTCCAGAATAGAATCCTAGAATCAAAGAGTTGGAAGAGACCTCGTGGGCCATCATCCAGTCCAACCCCATTCTGCCAAGAAGCAGGAATATTGCATTCAAATCACCCCTGACAGATGGCCATCCAGCCTCTGTTTAAAAGCTTCCAAAGAAGGAGCCTCCACCACACTCTGGGGCAGAGAGTTCCACTGCTGAACAGCTCTCCCAGTCAGGAAGTTCTTCCTCATGTTCACGTGGAATCTCGTTTCTTGTAGTTTGAAGCCATGGCTCCATTGCATCCTAGTCTACAGGGCAGCAGAAAACAAGCTTGCACCCTCCTCCTCCCTGTGGCTTCCAGTCAGCAGTTCAGCCGGCACAAGGGTTTAACCCATTGCACCATCGGGGGCAAAACGTCAGGAGAAAATGCTGCCAGAACACATTGGCCAAACAGTCCAGAAACCACACGACAACCCCAGTGATTCCAACCAGGAAATCCTTCGACAATGCAAGCAACAGGAATGCTCACAAGGAGAGCAACACTGAGCGAGAGGTGCGGCTCCATGTGGACCAGTGACTTCCTCACAGGCAAAATGTTTTGTGTTTTGCATTTGAGTGGTTTTTGATGATTGATGGGCTGCTGAGAAAATGTAACAAATGAGTGCTGGGTATTTCTATGATCACTCTGTTTCTCACTTGCTTTTCAACCCAATCCTAATGTAATAATGCATTTGTCTGTGTCTCTTCTTTGAGGCCATAACCTTTCCTAGCCTCATTCCACCCGGACTTGTCCTCCTTCCTTCTTTTCCTTCCTTCTTTCTCTTCCAGGAGGATTTGTCAGGCGGACTTTATGATCTCTCCGCCACAGCCGTCCACAGTCAATTCTTAACCTCTGGCACCCTCTGATGTCCGCCCAAGAAAAATACTCCAAACTGTCCAGGTGAAGGGAAATTATACAAAGCAGCAGCAGCAGGTGCCTCCACACGACAGAATTAACACAGTTTGGCCATACTTTAATTGCTCTGCCTGAAGGCTGTGGAACAGGCAGTTATAAAGTGGTACCAGGTTGGTTGGCTCTGTATCTCGTGGTGCCCGAGCGCAGTCTGTTCAGCGCCTTCCAAGTCGCCCAGTCTTCTGTGTGCCCAGGAGGGAGTCTCTCATTTGGTATCAGCCATTGGTTGAGGTGCTGGGTTTGAGCCTGCCACTTTTGGACTCTCGCTTGCTGGGGTGTTCCAGCGAGTGTCTCTGTAGATCTAAGAAAACTATTTCTTGATTTAAGTCATTGACGTGCTGGCTGATACCCAAACAGGGGATGAGCTGGAGATGTCTCTGCCTTGGTCCTTTCACTATTGGCTGCTACTTCCCGGCGGATGTCAGGTGGTGCAATACCGGCTAAGCAGTGTAATTTCTCCAGTGGTGTAGGGCGCAGACACCCCGTGATAATGCGGCATGTCTCATTAAGAGCCACATCCACTGTTTGAGTGTGGTGAGATGTGTTCCACACTGGGCATGCATACTCAGCAGCAGAGTAGCACAGCGCAAGGGCAGATGTCTTCACTGTGTCTGGTTGTGATCCCCAGGTTGTGCCAGTCAGCTTTTGTATGATATTGTTTCTAGCACCCACTTTTTCCTTGATGTTCAGGCAGTGCTTCTTGTAGGTCAGAGCACGGTCCAGAGTGACTCCCCAGGTATTTGGGTGTCCTGCAATGCTCCAGTGGGATTCCTTCCCAGGG